CGGATCTCTCTTCGTGGATGGTCCCGCATGATGAATCTTTCGGCCGCTGGGTGCCGGGAATTTTAGGACTGAGAACAAAGCTTGGCTATTAAACCGAAACTGTTGTGTCAGATCCATAAACTCCATACGTATTTTTCAAATTAAAGTTCTAGAAAAAAATAAATATATTTCTGATTATATTAAAAATTGTGAGGCACGATTTCTTTTTCTCTCGATGTGCAATTTGTACAATAATTGATTTTAATGGAAATGTTGATTAATTGAAGAGGTTCTTAATAGGTTTGCTATTAAAATAATCTGTAAATGAATTAGGCATGATTTTTATCTCTTTCAGACATTAATATGCAGATTTATAAAAATAGGTACTGAATATCGTAGACTTTAGGGAACAACTAGCATGCGCGCGAAAGTAGCGACTTTTTTTATTAATAATATAAATCTCGTATGCTAATAGCTTCATAGTCCGAGAAGATTTATCTCCGACGAGTTTTGCAATAGAAATCCAATATAGGTTAACGATGTAAAAACCAACTCGACTTGTTTATACGTCAACTGAACTATTCTGCATATCTAAAATAAATGTTGTCTTTCACTTTCCCTCAAAAACTAAATTACAACTATTGCTAAATTAATTCTAGTTAATAGTTCACTAATAATAATATTCTTCAGTGGACACAGAGCAGACTCTCGAGTGTCGATCAAGAATAAATAACTCTCATCGAATTCTAGATTTTAAGTAACTTTGAAAGCGCGAGTTATATCGCGAATCTTTATTCCAAACAAAGTGTTCCAGGCAAATTAGCGAAAAAATACTCCGAGAAAAACAATAATGACAATTATAAGCAGTGACAATTATATAAGTTTTATGTGTACAATTAATGTACATATGATGGAATAAATTATTTTATATTTGCAATTATAAAGTAGCTTTTATTCAACTGTGATGTGTTACATAAATTCTACATATAAAACTTATATAGATGTCAATTTTTAGATGCCTACTTCTGCTGTCATTTTCTCTGAGTGAAAAATAAAACAATTACATTTATTTTTTATTATCGAATTACTATTATTTTTATTTATCGTTAGTCTTTCAGCGCGCTAATTTTAAACATTTCTCCCGCTTTCGATGTGATTTTCATTTCGCCATGATTTTCATTGCTAAATTATCTTGCTATAAAGTCTTTGCGCGATCAGCTCGAAAACTTTTCCGGCGAGTCCTTCGCCGGAAACGTTTCGAGGCGGGGTTGCGAATACCGTAGGCCGCCGCGTCTAACGTTGGTATTCACGTCCGTGCGTTTCTGCGCGCTGCCAGCAGCGGAATGCAGATGAGTGCAGATTGCATTCGGAGTATTACCCAGCGTGCGAGACACCTTGGGTCTTTTTTTGCGTTGCGAGAAAGAAAACACGCGAAGAATTCGAGCGCGCAGAAAAATCCAACGCTCTGCGATTCACGCGTTGCGTAAGAGGAAGTTCACGAAGTTTACGCATGCACTTCGGATTAAGTGTTGCGCATTGCGAAACCCTTGAAAAGCTCTTTATCGTTAATCAACAATCCGCTTATATATGGCCGGTCGTTTTAGCTGGAATTCAGCTTGTTGGCTTGCTCACTTCTCGCTGCTTGTTATCGATCATAATTCATCCCGTTTTCCATCCGAGGATGCGCGTCGGCAAGCGTAATCGCATTTTTATTCCAAGGCTGTACAATCATTATATTGCCATCTATGTAAACACTTCGTCGATACAATGTGTGTATAAAGAAAAAAAACTCGACAGTTCATATAGCGCTCAATTATACTTGATGAATCTTTATAAAGACATTTTAAGATTGGCAAATTTCGATGGCTGAAAATCACTTTCCCTGAACTATGATTATTTTTTTTACCCGATATTTATCTCTTTGTAGATTTAATAGTAATAAACGAAAATAAGATGTTTTTTTCACGGGAAACAAAATCTGGCTGCATCAATTGGAAATCTGGTAAATTCAGAAAGATACTTATTAAAGATATTAGATATTTAATAAAATTTTTAAGTATGTAAATAAATACTTATTATAGTAAAATACTTATTATAGTAAAATATAGTTAAATTAAGTACTTATAGTTAAATCTATCAAACATTCCTGGTTATTTCTGATTGAAATAATCAGAATCAGAATTCTTATTAGGATAATCAGAATGCATTTTGTTCGTGTACGTCTTGTTGATATAACCAGAAAATTTTTTTTAGTATTTTTTTTATAAAATAAAAGTACAAACAAGTAAATATCGATGCTTGCTAAATATATTATTTTTAAAGAATTAAATAATTATTGAAAGCCTTCGTTGTATTTAATTAAGCGATAAATTAAGCGGCAAATTATACCGCGAGTTGCCATGACATACAGAAAATACAAGTTTGCTGACGGTATATGTGTATCTTGCTCACGTAAGGTGTCAAGTAAATAAACATTTTTATTCGCTTGCATAGTCGCTTGCACGATTTCTCGCAATCGATTTCACAACGTTCGACAGTATATAAAGTTCCGTCTAAGTAACAACGCAACGGTTCTTCTCGATGCATTCCGAAACTCTCGTCGCAGATGTCCGGTTAAGCTTTCTCGCCTCCGGACTCCCCTCATCTCGACGAGTGCGAAATTGAAGGCTCATGACATTTGCTTACGCTGACGCGTTTCGATGCATTATCTGCATATCGATTATGAAAAGGAAAAATTACGCCGCAATCCCGACGCGGCGTGCGCGGATTGCGAGGGGAACAACAATTCATTCTCGATGAATTCCGAAACTCGCGCAGATATCCGGCTGACCTTTCTTGTCTTTCTCGATCGGCTCTCTCGCTCTCACGCCTCGTAGAGTCAGGTATGAAATATGAAATTATTCAACGCCTTCGGTGATTTCCACGAGGAAAAGAATGCGCTCATAGATGGACGATTATTGCAATCGTATCGTAAGGGGAGCGATTATGTGATTATACGAAGGACTCTCAGGCTGTGATGGCTGGACCTGCGAGCTCGACTCCAGCCAGTTGGCTGCTCGGATTTTAGTTCGGAAGACATCAATATATGGCGATAATATATAATATAAATGATGCGAAAAGTTTATGGGATATTTTTATCGAATTTATATCGAATAGTTATATTTCTCGGACAAAACAATTTGCTAAAGCATCTAAAAATTTTTAACTCGATACTGAAAATAATTTTAGATCGTTACAATAATTTTAAATCATTACAATAATTAAATATGACGTTGAAGTATAATGAACAATATTGACTGAAAAAATTTTCCAAACGTTCTACATAATTATTTTGATTCTTTTTAGACTTTACTTTAATAAAATCGTTCTTCTCGTATAGATGAAATGTCAAATTCCGATATTCCGATATTTCGTTTTAGAAAACAAATTCCGGTAAAGTAAATCATAATCGAGTATTGTGTGGCCCTTTTACTAAAAAAAAGTGCTTTTCTATGTTACAATTTTACTATAATTTTCTAAATTATGGCAAAATTATAAAAATGTGATAAATTTATATAGAAATAATTTTTTTGCTAAATGCGTACCGATGACTTAAATGGTAATAATAGATATTTGAAATATCAAGCTACAATTTTCAATGTTCATTTGTATACAAATCAGTGCCAAATGGAAAATGTAATAAAAATTGCTTAAAAAAGGAGCAATTCTCCCCTAATATTTTTCTGATTTTCCCCTCAAATATAACATTATGAAATATGCTTTTTTTTACATTCGAAATGAAAGCTTTAGCTTTTTATTCTGAGAAACATGAAAAGTATATTAACGTGTTCTTGGCTGCAATATAATATTTTGTTTTCTCAAATATTGTAAGGACCCATAAAAATCGTGCAGGAACGACATAATATTTTAACAATGATATTTTAAGTGGTATGATTGATGATGGATGATTCAACAGGATATACCAAAGCTATCGTGTTATTTTTATCTGACAATACTCGGAATAATTTAGAATATATTATATTTATCTTTACTGTATGAATTCCATTTTTACTTTGATAAGCCTAGTTATTCTAAGTGGTCGATTTCAAAGATTCCTGTTCAATGATTGCGTGAATGAGGACCGACGGTGACGTACGATACAATTCCTGTTGGTAACATGTCACGATATACCAGCATCCATATAACCGCGTCCGTTCTTCTAGGAACCGAACGAGGGAGAGCCATCCAATTCCGCGAAAAAAGTATGCCCGGTATAAGACAACCGCGAGATATGGCGGAAGCGGCTAAATGCTTAAACGCTCGAAAGCCAAGCTTAAATGCCGCTGATTGCAGTAGGAGGGAAATGAGAGGTTGCACGATGGATGACG